GGACCGGTACCGGTCCACAGTCCGGTGGTTGGGGACCGCTGTGTTAAACTACAACTCTGCTTCCTGGTCTTGGGCTGTCAGGGTTTTGGAGGACTAATACATTTCGCAAGATTCCTAGAAAGAGATGCGCACCATCCAAAGTGGGCTGAATGCCATCTCTCCAAATTAGACCGGGTTTACCCCCTAAAGATTGCCAATTATTAATGTAGCCCACATTGTTTTTAGGACACCGCCTGGACAACCAGCGGTTAAATGATGACATGTAGCTAAACACGTCATCACTGGTCAGATTGGGGAAGGGAGCAGAGAAAATTATGGAGTCTGACACTGTTTTGGCAAACTTGCACCCGGAAGCAACACAAATTTTAGTGACCCCTGATCGGTGTAAATAGGTGTCAGTACCGCCAGCGTGAATAACAATCTTACTGTATTTAAACTTCTCCTTAATCAGTAGTTTCAGGTAGGATTGGATGTCACCCATTCTGGCAAACATTTGGTTATGTCCATCATGTCACTAATGCCATGTTTTTGACTATGGAGCTACGGAAAATGGGTAAGAAATGTGGACGGGTTGGTGGAGGCCAGTGGGCAGAGATCCACGACTAGGCTTTCTGTGTACCGTCACCCATTTGCCTGGCTGCTCAGGCACTGCTGTAGGACCACTACGTGGATGTGCCCCTGGTATTGGTGGCATGGGGCAGTTAACAAGACGCCTTACTCTAACATCTGGATATTTGACAGCCTTAACTCTAACTCTGACACTTCGCCTCCAAAGCTACAAAATTAATACACATGCTACACATACCATTATCACTAAAGGAGGCAGAGGAATGACTGAACATCTGACATACAGAGCAGGAGAGAGGAGAAGCCATATTGGGGCTAAGCTAGCACTAGCCTAGGCTAGCTACGCCTTAACTACCAGAAATAAAAACTGTGTGAACACTACAAGTACCCAGCAGAAAAGTGCAGCAGTAGAAGCTGTGTTTTAAAGTTCTGCTTGACAGTTAGAGTAAATTAGAGATATCACAGAAAAAAGTACTGACTTCAGACAGAGATAACCTGAACAGCAGCCGTAAATGTAGCTCAGCAGTCAAAACGTGAAGTATATGAGATATGTCTCCCAAACAGCCGCATTAGCACTCCTTACGTGGCAATACATGTCATCTGAAGGAACTTTACAGAGACCATTCATACAGTCAGATTGGCTCAAATATCGCATAATGAATATTTGGGAATCCCTTGTTAGTCCTTCTGGACTAAACAAATATTCGATAAATATTTTTTACAATAAAGTTTGTTTCATCCTATTTATGGTATCCACTTAGAAGGAATTTTTTTCAGTGTTGTAATGTTACCACTATTCCCCAGAGGGCGCTGTTCATTCTTAAACAGAGGCTTGCTGGTATTTGAAAGAGAAGTAATGCCAAAGTAAAGGCACGGTGCAGAAGACACATAAATTGATTTAGAATTCTGCCCGGAGTTATTTAGATTTTAATAGCAGCAAGGATGTGGAATAGACTTTGTTTTTTTTTGTTTTTTAAATATTAGCACTTGAATAAAGTCTTTAGGCTATCATTTAAATAGCCCCTATTTAGCCTCACTGCATGGTTGAGCAGCGTCAACTTCTCCTCTGTGCTTGAAAGGCGAGGATGTGATGACAGAGAAGTGGACCACATTACATTAAACATTGTGAAATTATAGAAAATGTCATGCTTGAATTTAACAACTTAGATTGGAAAGTAGATCATGTGAGTTCATTTCATGGAGTCCAGTTTTAAAATTTATCTTAAAATATGATATTGTACTATGATCATTATATTTTGTTGGTATATTGTGAAATAATATTTAGCCCTTCATGATATGGAAATATCCTCTTGATACAAGATAAATCTCAAGTTTTAAGAGAATTGCTGCCTATCAATTGTTTATTAGTAATCTTTAAGACCGTTCAACTTTAGGTTGATTCTTTAAATGATAACTTGCATCCTTAAATCTAAATTAAAATCATTTGGTGGGTTTGGTGACAACGTACGGTACCTCAAAATTGTAAATTATCTGAATAAAGTACAAATAGTAAACTATTTGTACTTTAAAGCTGCCAAAATAAGAATAATAATGAGGACCTGAAAAAAATAAGTCAAACACATCTTTAAAGATTTTTGAGAAAGTAAAGTAATCTTTACAATAACAGTAAGTCAGATTAAATTACTGTGGAAATTAATTTTGCTGCTGAATAAAACATACAATAAAACAACAGGCAGTGTTTCTGCTTTTAGGAAAATATTATCATGCTTTCCAGGAACCTTTGAGGAAAGTGATTGGAAACTCCGAGGCCATTAAAGTTGATGTTTGAGTTGTAAGCAGAATGAACAGCTGATTAGAACCCCGAGGAGACCCGAATGCAGGACTTATTGTTCCTTCTTTAAGGAGTTATCTTACAGTCTGATAAAGACAGCTCAGATTAGGAGTGTTCAAAGTTTGGCCCCAGGGACGTTTGTTACTCTGGAGGAGTTTGGCCCCATCTGGCGGGGTCTGTGGTTTTACTTCCTGGAAGGAGTCCTGTCAGCAGGATTCCTCGGTTCATGTAATCTACCATGTTACAGTTGGATGATAAGATTAAAGGCAGATATTCAGAAGTTGTTTTTTTTTTCCTTTAGTTTTCCCCGTAGAGGTTCTCTTTGTTCTCAGGTTTGCAATCCTTCCTCATCTGTTTCCATTTCACCTCTTTACACAGATCAAATGTATATTTAGTTAGATTCTGTTTAAGAAGATCTCTTGTTTTCCTCAGGTTTATACGGACTAACAGAGAATGACCTGGACAAGGTTTTCCGGCTTCCCACAACCACTTACATCGGCGGCAGTGAGAGCTCTCTGTCACTCAGAGAGATTATTCGCCGCCTTGAGGTAGGAGTGTTGCCAAAATAATCAAAACACACACAATAGATAAAAAAAATCGTAGTGTGCAGCCTTCTTTAACACACCTGGATTAATTAATGGTTTGTTGGAAAACAAAAATCTAAAACATGCAGGACAGCAGCCAGAAAGGACTGACTTTGTAGCATTTCACTGTCATTTTATTTTTAATATTTCCTTGTACGTTGCACATTTTTCACTATAAACGGTCAATTACTAACTAAGTATTTTAAGCTTTATTCTAGTGGTTGACATAGATATTTTTAAAAAAATCTAGATTAATCTCAATCTTGGAATTAATCTAGATTAGCCTCGATTAAAACCGCTAATTTGAATTCTGCCAAAGACAGTCATGATATGCGTTTGCTTCCTCCAGAATTTAAAAGAAAAGGTTAACTTTTTTTATGTTTGCAAAATCACACGGAATTTCATCTTTACTTACGATTTTGACAGTTATAAATACGTTTTTTGCTCATTTGTTGGTGTGTTTTTGCTGCTAAGAGAAAAAGTGTCCCACTTCCAATTATAGATGTCTCAGTTTAACATACCCAGACTGGCCATAGGGAGAACCGGGAGTGTTCCTAAAGTGCCGGTGTTCTGTCAGATGAGCATACCCAGTCAGACCAGCATACCCATAGTCAACACCTGTTTATTACTTTAGTTTTGTACTAAAAATAAACTTTAAACTACCTCAACGGGCATGTATACCTTTAGTCATGTACAAAAAAACAAGCATATGGCGATCTGACCTTAAATTGTTTTTTTTTTGTGCATGACTAAAGGGATACACGCCCATTGAGGTAGTTTAAAGTCTATTTTTCATTTAAAAAAAACTAAAGGGATAAACGCAAATCTGTCGTCTTGTGCATTCCTATTTACTATAGGTATACTGGTCTGACGGTGTATGCTCATCTTTAAATCTGCAGCTCTCCCTGCTTCTCTCTGTGCTCTGTTTAAAAAACATTTATGAACCTATTTACTGATATAATGATGCCAGCAACAACATTTCAAAATATGTAGAAGCTCTGCAGTCAGATTCTGTCTGTATAATAGGAAAACATTTTAAGCTGTAACTGGGAGTCATGGTCCTCTGAGAAGCCCAGCTTTTCTAAGTTGTAAAGAAGAACAAACTGTGTTTTCTCAAGCTTCTTGCATTATATTACTACGTTGTATAGACTTACAATCTTTTGCCGTTTTAGCTGAAAAAGCTTTGTATGTCGAAAGAACAGATTTTTCGGTGGCATGATCTCAAATGTTTTTACACAACCTGTCCTCTAACTTTTACTTAACCCTTTAAAGGGCAAGTTAGCATTTTTGTTCACTTACATACCCCTTACAAATGGAGTACACCCAGGAAACATGCAATTGGCCTTGAATGATATATTACCTTTTGCAAATTAAGTTGTGAAAAAAAAAACAAGTCAAGAAGAAAAGGTAAAAAGCTGATTTAAAAGTCAAAGAGTAAAGTTAAAAAGTTAATAAGCCTAATTTACAATTATATTTAGGTTTATAAACTAAAAAATGTAATTACCAGTATATTATATTGTACCAGGAAAAAAAAAATGAAAAATTCATGTTTTTCATGAATTTCTTTTAGAAACACTTTTGTTATTTTTCTTAATATATTCGGGCAAGTTGGCGTTTCTTATTACATTGATATTAATTTTTGCTATTAAAATATCCATATTTTTTAATGTTACAAAGGTAATAAGGTCTTGTCCTGGATTCCAATAACACTATCTGCTTGAGATGAGTGCCCTATAAAAGATTACACATCAGAGTGCTGCTGTGTGTCTCTCCTCCAACCACGTAGCTACTCGATACGCAGTGAAATCAGATGTT